TTTTTTTAAAAAAAAGTCTAAGATAAGTTATTTTTAATATTAAATGAATGGAAGTTGAGTAAAATTAAATATAACTTTAGTCAAATATTGTAATAGTTAATGTAAAGTTTCAAAAAAAAAAGGGAATGTCAGAACATGTTACTGATAAGCTACTTTATTTATAGTCTCTATCTTGATTTGTATAATGTCAGCGATGCCGGGTTACTGTCGTCAACGCGATTTCATGTTCTGTCAATGTGGAACCTTTCTCTCTTTCGACTCAAATGAGTATGCGCATTGCCCAGCTTGCACACATAAAGTACCCATGAATAGTTAGTTCTTATTTACCTTTCCTCTTTTTCCATCACATGATGTTTTTATATATAAATTTTAGTTTAATGGTTATAGTAAGTTTTTGCTCTAGCTTTGATTTGCAATTTTATGTGTTTTTATTGGTTCTTTTTGTTATTGATGCTTGATCTTGATAATGAAGTTAGTTACCAAATGCTAGTAATTTGGTGGGACTCTTCCGTGGAGGCCCAGACTCTTTTGGGTAAGAGTCCCACCAAATTACGCCCTCGTGGCGGGACTCTTCCCCGGACACTTGCTAAGCTCACATTGTGCACCGGGCTGCCATTTTATCCCTGTCAAGGAGCTTTGTGGTTCGGTTTGGGAATGGTTGTATAAGTTATTAATATCAATAGGCTTTAAGTTTGTTATGGGCTATTCATTATTGGATTAAGTAAAATTCACAATAGTTCTTGATTTCGTCTCTTTGGATTTGTGAAGATGTGCCACGGTGCAAGACAAGTCAAAAAGTAATACTTTAAAAGAAAAGTGATAATTTCTAATGGTTATTAACATATCTTACTATGTGCTACTGTAGAGGTTTTTAAAGTCAAAAATTTAAAATAAAGAACTATTCAATTTCACCAGCATTCATTAGTTCTCTTGCTAGGACCCAGATTGTTATCTACTACGGAGTATCATTTTCCTATATTTTTTCATTTGATATGAATGAAGTCTTATTTTATGTCTTTATTCCAGAGATCATTGGAAATGAGATACGTTATACAATTACAGCTGAGGTATGGCCCGATCTCTTACTCTAACTAATCTCTTGAGAAGTCTGGTATGGTTTAGAGATGACAATTGGAGAGTGGAGATAACTCATTGCTGCAGTAATTTATATTGTACTCTCCGTGTCCCATAAAAATATGTTCCACATTTCCATTTTCCTTTTTGTGTGCCTCAAAATAGGTTTCCGCTTTCTCAAACACGTTGTCTATTCCAACGTGGAATCTACTTTTGGGAAAGAGTGACTATTACAATTTTAGACATGCGTATGTAATTGTCGTTCTTTATTTAGACATTTTTGGTGGGGAACAAAACAGGGTTTTCACGGTATTGTCTTGACTTTGCCAGGCTGCCAGAAGATGGGGTTTGGGCATACCTCCGCACGATGATTTCGAACAAGAGAAGGAACTGAAACAGATGGTAAGTGTGGCAGAATAATAGCATTTTCATCCTGAACAGATGGTCTATGTCTTTTATCATCAATGGTTGATTCTCTCATTTGATCTAGCCTCACTGTTCCTTGAACAGGATTATAATGCAAAATGCAAAGTTTGCCAGCACTTGGGGATGGCATATGTTGCTAGACAGGTTCGCTTCATCTCTTTGTTACCCATCTGATGGGACTTGTTCTCTTCAGCTTATCTGATTGGATTAAGTTCTAATTTTATCTGGTCTGATTGTAGTTATATTTAAAGTTATTTCTGATCAGATCTTATTTCAAGAAGGATAAGTAAAAAAACGAGTCTTTTTTTTTTCCAGTTTAACAGAAAGATTTTCTTGGTCTTTTTTCTTTATGCAGATTAGGTCTGCTGATGAAGGGCAGACCATTTTCTACACATGCACCATTTGTGGAAACAAGCAAACAGAGAATTCATAGGTTTAAACCATCTCCAGTGTGCCTGTAGCCTTTTATGTTTTAAGGTGGTCTCTCTTCATCTTGTTTAACAGCTACTAATTTTGTTGGCAATTGCATTATCAATTTTGTCAAGTCAAAGTGTATTAATTGCCATTTGCAACTGTTGTTATTGTGTTAGGTTTTCTTGACTCAGGTTTAAAGTATGGTGTGTTTGGTTACAGACATTCGGACATTTGGTTTGCAATTCCAAAAAACATTTCCTGTTTGGATTAACAAAAAATTTAATTTGAGATTACACCCTATTCCTCAGTTTTTTTAATAGTCACTTGGTTCACTTCGTTTTTTCTCATTTTTCCTCCAGATCTTAAAATTTTTCTGATATTTAGATCTGGTTTTCATATCTAGTTTTAAATCAAAACCCAAGCTATTCTCAAAGGTTTTGAAGGGAAGTTAAGACGAAGGGGTAAACTTTTTGATCGGTGATGAAAGCTTCAGATTTGGTGTCCGTCAAAAGCTTGTTGATTGACAACGGCAAACTTTTACACTATATTTAGTTCAAGGAATTTGAGAGGGAAAAGAAAAGAAAACGAACTGGAAACAAGCTTTTCTTGTTTGGCTAGAGGGAAAAAGAAAAAAAAGTAGAAGGAAAAGAAAATGAGAAGGCAAAATGTACCAAGTGGAGGAAAAACACAATTTTCTCCCATTTTAGTAAGGAAATGAGAGAAAATCAATATTTATATACTCCCACTGTCCTCCAGTTTTTGTCCACTTTCATTTTTGCACACCATCCAATGCATTTCTTTAATTCATTTTATTTTGTAATTTGTATATTAAAAAATTATAGAAATTATATATCAATAATCTATATGTTAAGACAAATCAAACAAGATCACACATGACTATATTTAGACTTACACTTTGAGAGAAATTTGATGAGTCAAAGTACTTAGATGAATAGTTTCAAAAGTCAAAAGTGGACAAAAATTGGGAGACGGAGGGAGGACTTTTTGCATTTGAACTAATTTAAGATATTTATTTCTTCATTACGAATACAACACTTGTTTTAAATATTCACAATTACATTATGTTAATTTTAAAAAGGCTCTTTAAATTTTATCAATCCAAAACATTATTTTATATTATACTCCATATTATTTTATACTATCCACTATTTAATTTAGTTTGTTACTTCTCAAAAAAATGATTATATAACTTTAATCACTTATGAACAATTGTTAATTAAATACTTTATTTTATAACGTTTATCTTATTACGGAGTATATTTTTATTTTATTACTATACGTATTTTTCAACAAAGTAAATAGAACTAACTAAAGGATGACAAGTGACATTATGCTACATATACATACTCGATGTATCATTATTTAATTAGTCGTTTTTTATTTTAATTTTTATTAATTAAAATAATTTTTATTAGAACTTCGTTCAATAACCATTAATTTTGTATAAATATTTTATTTTTAAAATAACATTCCAATATATATTCTACCAGTTTAAAATATATATTATTTTGCATAATTATATTATATCTAAAAATATTTTTGAGATTTTATCTATAGTTTGAAAAATAAATTTTTTATATAATTTTCTAAAAACAATTGATTATTTCTATTTTATTACTTTTAAATAAAATATTTTTAGAATTTTAGTGCATGTGCATTAATATTATTCAAAGCATAATATTTATTTAAAAAATATATCTTAGTTAAAAAATATTCATATCACACATATTATGTCATTATTAGAAAATAAATTAAATTTTTATATATAAGATGTTAAAAAGTTTAGAATGTATACGAGCTCGGAAAAACATGTTAAAAAAGGGAAACAAGAAAAACATATATTCGTACTTTTTATTTTAAGGGACTCATATATTCGTACAATAAAAGGGAAACAAGAAAAACATGTTTAAAAAAAGTTTAACTATTCCCAGTAAGGTCTCAAAAGTTTAAGTGAATAACACTATTCGTACTTTTTATTTTAAATAAATAACTAGTCCAAAACCGGGTCGGGTAAAGGTCTTTTGTATTAAGTCCATTCTATACCTACAAAATATAATAAACAGATTTAGATTGATTTAAGTCTAAATCCTACCCATTGACTGGCCTGCCTCTTAGTATTATTCCTTTCTTTTAAAAAAATTTCTTTCCCGGTTTGACTCGACATGAAAATTAAGAAAAAATAAAAAATACAAATACTTTTCATGTTTATCTTTCATGTGATGGAATTGAGTGAATTATGCAAATAAAAAGTGAGAAGTATAATGACACATTTTTTAAAATTTTGTTGTCAGAATAGCAAACAAAGAAGAAATTTTTGGATAATAAAGAAATTACCGAGCCACATATTCTTAAGAGCATGTTTGGATATTGGCTTTTTGGATGATTTTTAGATGTTTTGACTAATTTTGGCTATTTTGACCGGACAAACAGCCACATAGAGTGCTTGACAAATGGCTGTTAGAGTTTGAAAAGCCAAAATCTGAAAAGCTAGGAGGAGTAGCCTTTCGAGTTGGCTATTGGTTGTTGGAGTATAATTATTAAATAAATAAATAAATATTAAGTAAATAAAAAGCAAACAAGCAAATGAGTATATAATAACTACTTTCGCATCTCGAATTGAAATTCACTTAGAAATTACGAGGTAAAATATTTTCTTAAATTATTTTATTCAGAAATCGGTACAAAAATAAAAAGACTTGCATATTAAATAATTTTATTAATAAATATAGTTTGTTAAATAGTCTAGTACATTAAAATGGAAGACAAACACTTGTCAAAATATTCTTTTATAGAATAAATATAATTTGTTCAATGTAATTATAAATATATATTACATATTTGAACTGTATTATACTCCGTATTATATTGCATAACATATTATATTTTATAAATTTTAATTCATTTTATATAAATTATATTATACAAATCATATACATAAAATTAAGTTTTTAAATATAATTACATCTACAACAACTATTTAAAAGCAGCTAAGTTTGCTAAATATTTTTTGTGAACAAACATGTCAAAAGAGCTAAGTGTAACCAGCAGCTAACAAAGAATCGCCAATTCCTAAACTGGGCCTTAATCTTTTTAGCCTTTACAAAGGGGTTCTACCGTCTTCTTAAATCTTCATCCGACCAGAGGATTTAACCTAGAAATTTCTCTCAGAGACCTTCAATAGCTCAACAATGTCAGGGAAAGAAGTTCGGGAATATACCAATCTTTCAGACCCTAAAGGTTCGGATTCACCCTTTCTGCACATCAATTTTGCACTAAGTTTCTGGGTTTTGTCGAGATAGAAAGATTTTACCGTCACTGAATTTATTTCCTTCCAAAAACACATACATAATTTCAGACAAGAAATGGGGGAAAAACAAGGACAAAGTAGATGACGAGGATATTACTTTCCAGCGCATGGTTTCCAAGGTTAGCGAATCCAGCTTCTCCTTCCCTTACTGGTTTTACCTTGAAAAAAAAAATACCAAGTTATTACCTTACAAGAAGTAAAACCCATCATTTGGCTTGGATATGTGATTGTTAATGGGTTTAATAAAAATTATAACTTCGGCAAGGAACTTCATGAACTGGCCCATTGTTTACTGAATTACTAAGAGATGAGGTAACTTAAGAAATAGGATTTAGGAGGGCTTACTTTCACTAGAATTAGGATGTTAGTTCTCATGCATTCACGCGTGCAGCAGTTAAAGGACAATTGTAACTTGTATAATTTTGTTCAAAACCAAAAGTGGAGTTAGCAGTTGGCAATTATCTAAAATAAAATTCTAAACTATAGACATTATATCCTCTATGGTCTTTAGGATTTATTTTCCTGTGAGCTGTGTTTTGAATGTCATTAGATGCTTCACATATTTGAAATGAATATGTGAGTTGTGTTTTGAGCGTAATTGCGTGCTTTACGCTTTTGAGATGGAATGTAATAATCTTGTGTTCCTCTTTTCTGCCCCGTGTTCTTTAGATGCACATCTAAAGTGGGCTTCATGCATTGAGGCTCTAGGCCCCCTTGCATCCTTAGTAACTATGTGTACAAGCACGACATAAGTCTTAAAAGTCTACAAGATACAGTAGTAAGATACCTTGTGAAGCAAGGATACATGTAAATGTGTGGTGAATGAATGTCACACAATCCGGTCACATGGTTAAAACATGCTTCTTCTCTTGTCCTTTGTTTCCTCTTAAAATGGGTACATAGAAATGGCGTTGATGTAATAAAAGAGGAACTTGGGTTTTCGATTAGGAAAAGGCCACCTAAAGAATTAATCTTGTTCGACAACCCATAATCCTTTAAATGCTTTATTTCTTTCTCTCTTTTTTGTTTGGATCGGTGTTACATACTTGTTTGTCCTAAGTTTTGTTTGCAGCTTTGTAAACTGTATCTTCCCCCTAGACCTTTGTTAGACTCTGTTATATTGCCCTAAGACATAACAAACTGGAATGAATCCACACTCTGATCTGTGCACGTGCTTCACTGCTTCTAGTAGTGGTCACAGAGCAACATTTAGAGTTTTTGTATTATTTAAATTCTCTTGCATTTTTAATTGTTTTAAGTGGTTTGTTGTGATTTTGATAGAGTTATTATGGTCGTGGGTATTTTGGTTGTTTGTAAATTAGCCCTAACTTATAGCCAGCCCTTGTCTTCAAACAGGAGGCTCGATGAAGAAAGAATGATCTGAAAATAATATTTTAAATAGTTAGTAAAAGAAGTTGTGAGACAACTGAGGACCATCTCATATATAGTCTTAGGAGAACTCAAGATCTCCTATTTTTTTACAAGGTTAAAATTGTTTATTCCTTCTCAATCTAATGCCAGTTTCTTATATCTTTACGGTGCTAAAATTGCTCACACTTCAACCATAGAGAAATTCTGCCCACCTTTATATTCCTTTTTCAAATCATCAACCCTTAACACAATCCTTAATATTCAGGCATACAACATATGGCGCATTGTTTGTCATCGTGGGCACTTTGATACCAATTGATGCTCAATACAATATCCTTAACAAAGATGCCAGAAAAATTGCACAAGTTGAGAAAGTTCCTGAATACATAATCCTAAAAAAGATGCAATGAATCCCTCGATTGTTTGGTCCTCTTGATCTTTTCGTTTTATAAATCATGTGTATGAATCCATCACTTCAACATGTTTGGAAATATGAAAGGGCGTGTCACTAACTTTTAATGGACATTGTGACCTGCTAAAAAGGAACAAAAAAACTTTTCTGTTTGTATATAGTTAATTTGGGCTTAATTCGGCCCAAATTGTGAAGTTTACTTCACGCTTATGTATGATACTCAGAATTCCCTTCTCCCAAACCGGGTTGCATAACATAATAGGTGGATAAATGGATCAAATTAACCACAAAGAAGCCACTCCAAACCACGACAACCAATCCAATATACCATAACTAGACTTGGTTCTAATAGACTAATACCATATGGCATTGTGTCTCTCATTCCTACAAGACAATGAAGAGGTGAAGTTTACCTCATACTTATACTTCCACTGTCCCAAATTAAGTCTACTTCGACCGTAGTTTATATGGCATCGCCTAATCGGCAGTGATAGTTTAACCAGGGCGCCACACTCCCACACCGAACACTTCACCTTATTTCACTTCAGGTGTTCACGACGTCCTCTTGGTGTTGCCTAGGTGTATTTGGCCTAACAATCTTGCCTCAAAATTCCTAATCTCCCCTTAGCCTACATGGATCTTTTAAGTTGATGTGCTCCCATGGTTCAACCTCAAATGTCTGTTGTCTTTGTTCATTTTCCTCCGTGGGTTATCACTTGTCGTTAGTTGCCAATTCAGTGGTTCTCGAACTCTTTGTTTTACCAATTTGTTTTTCGTGAAAATTGAGGTGGGATTGTTTGTTAGTCTCTACCCTCACCTACTCGGTAATACCTAAGAACATCTTTAGCAAGTTGCTTCACCTTAAAAAACTGATTTGGAGTTGGTGTGGAGCACCAGTAGCTTCATTTTAAGAAGAATTCTTACTAAAGCAACCATATCTTAGCTTTTTATAAAAAAAATAATCCTGGCCACTTATAAAAAAAGAAAGTGTGATGTTTATTTTGGGATGGAGAGAGCAATAACATATTGTTAGGATGTTGATCATGTAGAAGCCATCTCTTTTAGAGGTAGGTGGTTTTTATAGTTACTGGTGGTGGTATTGTTACCATAATACCATTTTTTTTAATAAAGTCTAATTCATAGTCAACATACTATTGGAATCCCAGACACAGAATTGAACTGGATAGATTGTTCAGTCAAGGTGTCATGGTCCAACCATCTATTTGGTATTGGTAGACACTGAGACAGTCAAACTAGTAATACAATTATGGAATAAATTCATATTCATTTAACAATTATAAGTATTTGAAATACGCACAAAGTTGCCACTAGAGTTAGAAGTAAATAGGGGTGTAAACGGATATTAATCGGATCTGATGTGCCATTACCAAATCCGTATCCGTTTATTTTTGTCGGATATCGAATTCGGATACGGATCTTGACGGATACTAAAAATCAAAACCGTATCTGCATCCGTCATATATCGGTCGGATATCGGATATATCCGTATCCGTTTCCAATTTTTAAAATCAAATTAAACAATACTTTAATTTTAAATTAGATTAAAGTCAAACTACTATTAAATCAACTATAATTTGTTATGGAATAATTATTTTCTTTGTTTTCATGATTTATGATATTCTACGATAATTTCATATGGTAAAATGATATACACAACACACATATACACAGATTTTTATATTTTATGTGTGTACACATTTATTTTTTATGTAAAAATGCCATATACTTTGAAATATCAATAGAGAAACAAAATATAAACATAAAATAAATTAGGAAAAACTATATATAACGAATCGGATATTCGGATAAACGGTTATTAAAACAGATGCATATTCAGATCGGATTTTAAACGGATCAGATATACAATTACCAAATCCGTATCCGTTTAGTAATCGGATATCCTTAATCGGATACGGATAATATCCGTTTAAAACGGATGCGGATATTTCCTCTTTAAACAGATATGGATACGGACGGTAATCGGATTTTTGACTATCCGTTGATAGCCCTAGAAGTAAACCTGCATTTCAAATTTCAATTTAGTTGAGAAAAATAAGAGGGCACATGCTACTACATAATGCCAAGTGACTCAACAACAAGTGAACACAACAGAATTATAATTTCTCCCAATAAACATCAGTTCATTAATACTCCCTCCGTCCCTCATAGATCTTCTCAATAGCCCTTTTTCTTTGTCCACAATAGATCTTCTCATTTCATTTTTTAACAATTAAAATACCACAACTACCCCCACTTACTTTATTTATTACACCTCACCCACCTCATTTAATACACTCCACCCATTTTTCATTAAGGGTATTATGATAAACTTTCATCTTTTTTAACTCTCCTTAAAAACCACCAAAAGTCAAAATGAGAACATCTTAGGGGGACGGAGGAAGTACTACTTTTGTCTGACATCGAATTTGACTTTGAGCCAAACTACGCAAACTCTGGGCATGAATTAAATAAAAATTCCATTACATATTAGTACAAAAATTATTCCATTAGATTCATCTTACAGAAGACATTAAAAAAGTTATTTCATTATATTGATTTGCTATGCAAATATAATTGATGATTGAAGTTTGTCCAATTTGATTAAAAAAAGTCAAATTGGATAAATATTTTGGGACAGAGGCCGTATCTTTATAAGCTATTGAAAGAAACCAAATTAGTGGAATTGACAAGTGAGACATAAGAGAAAATTAAAATGGTCACCCCTCACCCGAGTAGAACTGAATACCTCCAGTAGGAATTGGGAGTTCCCCTTGGATTTCCAATTCTCCACGTACCCAGACTGATGCAGGTCTCTTAAACCCCTCACAACCTCCCAAGTTCTGGGTGAAATCTGGGATTCTGATTGATGGGTCCTGGTCCAACTTTCCATGTAGTCCTGGTCTTAAAACATTGATGTCAACTTTAAATGTGGAGAAGCATTCTGATAACATGCCCCGGCAGGGATCTTGGCTTCTCCTATTTGGCACTTGATGTTCAGATGCAAGAGGTAGCTGGAGAACGTGGAGGCTATCTTCATGGACGAGGCGGTATTGATTCTCACTCCTAACTTCTATTTTGTGTGTTTATACTCTTCCCTCACCCTTTTCTCCATCTCCTTTTCTCGGACACACGTGGGCAAAAGATCAACATTACAATATTGTTCAGTTAATGTTCCTTGAGTGTATTTAAGTTGAAATGTGCAGCCTTGGACAGTGATGACTTGCTTTATCTCAAAGAGCAGATGGAAGCTGAGGAGGATGCAGAACGTCTCTTAAGACGCACTGAGAAACGTGCTTTTGCAGCTTTTAAGATATCCTAATCGTTCTTTTTTGGATAAATTATCTAGGACATATGTTTTGTGTGGCTATGTGTGGAAGGTACCATTTTGCTTTGCCCTTGTCCTACCTATCATGTGTTTCTATCATCTCCTGCTCAGCCTCTCCTTTCTCGTACAGCTTGTATACTAATGAACTACAAAAAATCTTCTCTAAAACATACAATAAATCCTCTCTGGAACACACAAAAGAAAATATCATTCCAAATCTTCCTTTTATGTGATGTTTCCAGTTCCATTTGTTTCTAAATGGCTTACGTAAGAGGGGGTCTTGGATAATATTCTCTGTATGATATAGTGAGAGTAAAAACTTGTACTACATTGTCCTGTGCAATATAGATGTGGTGCATCCTTAGAATAGAGTCATGGCTGCTAAATTTATCTCATCTACTTCATGCCATTACAGTGATTTTCCAACATTGTAGTTTTAACTGTATATTGATGTAAAATGTAATTTAAAGATCATTTGTGAGAGTCTTCAACCATCTTGTTGATTCACAACCCACAAAAGCAATGAATCGGTGATTTGGTAGAATCAGATTTTTCCTATAGGCGGGGAAGGTGAAAAGAGTCATATTTTTGCAATGGAGACAGAAATTCTCATTTTTTGCAGTGTTTTTGCTTCGGGTAAATAATGAACTAGATCAAAATGACACACATTTAACTTCCAATGCTTCTTACTTTGTATGAAGTTTTGGATAGTGAATGCATCAAGGGTTAAACAGTAAACACCTCACCCTTTTAATTTTCGTAAAAGGGCAAGGTTGTTTATATCTTGTCCCCAGACCCCAAGTAACTCTGGGATTATTCGGGGGTTTTTGTTGTTGTTATGGTGGCACAGAAGTGTGGGCGTCTTAGTTTTCAAATTTCATGTTATCCTTGATGACTATACACCAAGCTGTAGCCAATACTTCACCCGCTACACTACCCCTTCCACTTCGAGTTGAGCCAAAGGCAAAAAGTGGGATCAGGTATGAATGAATGCCCCTTTTCTTTCATGCATTCGCTTTTGCTTCTGATTTTATGAGTTATGTCCCCAATTTAAGGGCACCCTATGGCATGGACATGCACTAATGTGGGATAAATTTTCTTGGTCTTTAGGCAGCAAGATTTACTTAAAAGAGTGGTAGAGGTCAAACCGAAACGGCATAGAGTCTCCTCCCCACCAGAACAAGGGAGTCTGCCCTCCAAACCTTCGACTACTTGTTATTCTCCTAGCAAGCCATTGGCTAAATTGAATGATGAAGGATTGAATAAAGCGAGGGTCGATAATCCTGTTTCAAGTTTGTTAGCAGCATATGAGAGTTCTGATGATGAATGAAGACTGATAGATCATTTGTGTATGAGCCATTTTTCTTGGTGTTGAAGCTTCTTTAGTTTTGTTTGTATGTGCTGGTTTAATTTGTATTAAAATAGATGGGGAACAAGCTGAGAAATGAAGTGATTATTGAATTGTGAGATGGACAATTATTTATGTTGCCCTTAAGGTGGTGATTCAGTTTTAGGTTGCATGTATTCATACTAAGTTAGATTAAGGAGTTGTTTGGCAATAGTGTTTTTAATTAGTTTTACGGAGTATTTTTTTATTGGTACAAATTAGCTTTGAAAATGTTGATTTTAAATGTTGGTGTTTGATGACATTTTCAAAATGCTGAACGTTAAATGTTAAACTGGTTGCCGAACGAGCGCTAGGATAGTTGTGAATAGTTGATGAAAATGAGTTTTTTTTGGGATAATGACGAAGCATTTTAGATCTGGATCGGTTAGTTAGATCGTCGGGTTTGGATTCGGTCACTTCTGATTTGGTTGAGAATTGTATGATCATGATTTAGTATCACCGAGTTTGGGTCGACCCAACAACTAGGGGTGGACACGGTACGGTTCCGGAACCGCCGGTTCCGGAACCGCCGGTTCCGGTACCGCCACCCCGAGTAACCGGAAATGATACCGTGCCGGCCGGTTCCGGTACCGGACCGGCCGGTTTCGCCCCCC